TTTTTTAGTAGAGACGGGGTTTCACCGTGTTAGCCAGGATGGTCTCGATCTCCTGACCTCGTGATCCGCCCGTCTCGGCCTCCCAGAGTGCTGAGATTACAGGCTTGAGCCACCGCGCCCGGCCCATTCTGCCATAAGGAATTTAAGAGAGCATGAGCTAAGGTGGGGTCTCAGCGCCTGAGCACGGCCACTCCGCGCCGACTCCTGTGAGACACAGTCGAGGTGAGCAGAACCCGAGGGGAAGGGATGCAGTCCAGAGCCCAGAGCTACTAAGTTCCTGGCCTCCCCCAAGGGAGTGACTGGAGAAGGACGGAGAGCAGGACTTCCCTTCCTGCACTCAAGAGTGCTTGTGCAGGTCATTATTCATCAACATATGTCAAGATAAAATACACAGAGCTCTTCTTGGAAGGGCTGGGTTTGGTCCATCTCCAATGACACTTTTGTCACCTCCATAAATTCCAAGTTGGAGTGTCAGTCCACTGGGGTTGTTATAGATGGCTAGGCTAGGCTAGGCAGCCTGGGGCAGGGAGGGGAGTTAAGTAGGTAAGTTTTCTTCCTTCCACAAGGCTGTCTTGTTGAGGTCTTTTCTGCCTGAGTGTGACACAGTCCTCTGTAAATACACCTGTAAGGAACGTTTTTCTTGCAAGATATAACAGGTCTCCCTGTTTTCCCGAATTCAACACGTGTGTTCTGAGTGTCAACTGGGTCACCGAAAGGGGTCAATGAATATCTAGTGTAACGCTGCTGCTGGTTTTGGAAGCCTTCTGCCTCCCCCCACCCACCCTGTCCCATCTAGGGCTGTCTCAACTGAAATGAAAACTGCCACAAGGAGAAGACAGCAAGCAGGAGTCACCGGGGTACAAGAAACAGAAGTCTGGGGGTAACGCTTTCCAGGACGGGATGTGGTTGCTGAGGTGCTTCTGTTCTTCGATCAGGGGACGCTGGGAAAGAACCTCCAGGCTGGCTGCTCCCAAGTCAGCTGCAGCCTTGCCCCATCTGCAGTCACTCCTGGACAGGTGCCAGGGAGGGAGCCGAACAGACAGAGGCGACCAGAGGACAGCACCTTGCTGCGTATTTTTACACTTATCCCCTAAAGACCAAGATTGAAGTCAAATTAAAATTTGTCTAACGAATGGATTTTCAAAAGGATTAAGAGAGATTGTATGACACCGAATCAACTGATCCCTGCTGTGGTCTGAATGTTTGTAGCCCCCAAAGTTCAGATGCTGAAACCTAACCACCAAGGTGACAGTATTAGAAGGTGGGGCCTCTGCAAGGGAATTAGGTATTGGGGCTCCACCCTTGTGAAAGGGATCAGTGCCTCAGAAAAGAGGCCCCGGAGCTGCCTGCCCTTTCCACCCCGTGAGAACAGGTGGAAGGCGCCGTCTACGAGGAACGGCCCTCCTCAGACTCCAAATCTGCTGGCACCTTGACCTTGGACCTCCCAGCCTCCGGAACTGGAACAACACATTCTGTTGCTTATAAAGTACCCAGTCTAAGGTATTCTGTTACAGCAGCCCCAGTGGACTAAGACAGTCCCCTTCCCTCGCCCCAGCTTATTCTGAGTTCTCCTAAATCACTAAAAAAGAACCAGTTTAAGAATTGAATTCTTTTTCACTTTGTGCTTAGATATGTCTTAAAAGTACCATTATGGAAGAAAAATGTTCTATTTATCTCCAAAAAAAAAAAAAAAAAAAAAAGTCAAGCAGAAACCAGATAAAATGTAGTCTTAATTAGAAATATAAATACACAGTTTGAGTATCTTCTAAGGCTATATAAAGCCACACACTTCCAAAATTCAGTAAGATTTAATGTATAACAGACTACTATGAAACTAGCAAGCATTTTTCTTATGCTTTACATAAGAAAGACATAATAATAAAAATGTATATAAAAACTTTAATAGAAAAACGCTGGTGAGTTATAGATAAAAACACGAATAACATTTTCTGAAAATGTCAGTTACTTTGCATTCTGAAATGATCCCTTCGAACATGAAAACAAGGGGAAAATGTACATATAGTCAAAGATATTTATTCCTTGTAAGACCTATAAATATTAATATGAGCACAAACAACAGTGAGATCAATTTTTAGAGAAAAACAAAGCAAAAGGGACAGCTAGTCAGTTCCTGGAGGCTCCTCTCCAGCAGGGCATGAAGCACTCAAACATTCCGCCCACTTTTTGGTAACTTGCTAGTGTCACTGGCAGATTGACCCCTGCCAGGTGATCTGTGAAGCGTGATAAATACATTGCTGCAGCCCCGCAGAATGATCCAGGTGTGGCGGGAAAGTCAGTTCAATATTAACCAAGCCTGTTAATCTCTATTTGGACTTTTCATTTTGTCCTTTTGGTGGTGGAGATGACCCAGGACCGTCCCTGGAGCCTGCCGTGCATGAGCTCCTGGCACAACCTGGTGTCTACTGGGCTTGGGGGCTGTGACATGTCCTCCGCACCCGGCACTGCCCTCACATAATATTCCACGCAGGCTGCTCCCTTGCTCTGGACTCCGGGATAACCATCCTGCATGGATCCAGAGTTGGTGCCTACATATCCAGAGGCAGATCTCCATCCACAGGGGCCACACGCACCATTTAACACCAAGCACTGCACAAGGCTGCCATGGCTTGGTCCACTTCTCTCCCTTTCTTAAAGATGTATGTTCTGGAGCACACACACTCGAATTAAAGCCTTTAGCAACAGTAAGTGGCTTTAACTCCAAGCTCATTCCACCTTTCAGCTTTGTTTTTTATTGAGAATGAAGCTAATTTCAAACTTGTCTCTAATTCACAGCTTGTAACTAAGCCTCCTTTATTTATTCTCTGGAAGGGAAGACTTTGTTCAGAATCTGCGCTTCTGATCAACCACTGTCTTTGCTGCACGATGAAGGCAAGAGGAGAAGCTGACCAACAATGACCAGGAGTGACCAGAGGCCAGACGCCTCCATCACCAGGCAGGATACTGAGGAGTGGGCAGCCAGCCTCACCTCGTGGAGCAGGCCAGAACCGTGGGGCTCTCCTGTCAACAGGGACATGTCCTTCCTAAGGGGAGGTTTGTATCCTGTAGGTACCGTGATGAAGAGGTGTCTCACACTATTAGTGACTCCTGTGGAATCGGAAACACAGGAGCCCAAATGAGCAACGTCTGGAACCAGTGGAATCACCCAACTGGTTTCAACTGCCCCAGACAGCCGTGCTCAAGACACAGAGCTTCTGCTTCCTAAAGCCAGAGCAATTACACATGGCCTCCTAGGATAAGAGAAAACCACGTGTCAAAAAAAAAAAAAAAAAAAGTCGTAAGAAATATCAGGAAATCATGACCCATTGGTCAATGCCATCCAAGAATGTGTTTTTGAGAAAATGTATAAACAATTCTATGGTAGGCCAGGCAGCATTCTTAATATTTATATAACTTCTCCTTTGGCCTCATGTGAATATTGGGAAACGGGCATCTGGCAAGTGATCACAGTTACTGCTTCAATCACATGTCCGAAAGCACGCGCCTGTCTCAGGGATGGAGCCTGATTTGGAGTTTCCAGCACCGTGGCCATACAGATCCACTTCCAATTTCCCATATAATTAAAATCATACATCTTCACAGCAGCACATTGGGTGGGGACAACCCAAATGTTCATCAATGGATCAATGAATGAATAAAATGTGGCCTGTCCATGCAACAAAATACCATTCAGCCTTAAAAAGGGTGAAGTTCTGACACATGCTACAACCTGGATGAACCTGGAAGGCATTCGGCCGAGTGAAACACATCAAACACAGAAGGGCGAGTACTGTACAATTCCAGTGATACAAGGTCCCTAGAACAGTCAGATTCATAGAGACACAAAGTAGAATGGTGGCTGCCAGGGGCTACGGGGAGGGAGAATGGGGAGGGAGAATGAGGAGGCAGTGTTTGACGGATGGAGAATTTCAGTTTTGCAAGATGAAAAAGTTCTGAAGGCAGATGGTGGTGCTGGCTGCACAACAATGCGAATGTATGAATGCCACCAAACTACACACCTGAAAATGGTTAAGATGGCAAATAGTATGTTACACATACCACACCTCAATTAAAATAATACACGTACATCTCTGAAGGAGGGTCGTTTTAAGGAAACATCAGATGGAAAGGTTATATGCAACCAAAGAAAATCCTGTCAGCCTCTCTCTGTCCCCTGGGCTAACCACCAAGCTATGGCAGTGTGGAGAGCTGCACCTTGCCACGTGGATGCAAACTCCCCACCCTTCCTCAGAACGGGAAGGGGATTCTCTGCTGGGGGAACAATCATGGCTCAGATTAGGCAGAATCAAACTTTACCCGCAGGAATGTGGGGAACCCTTGTCCGTAGTAGCCAACAGCAAAATAGTCAGGCTTGGGCCTGATCACTTTGACGATGTTTTCATAAAACTGAGCCTGTTTTTTCTGGAAGGAAAAAAGAGAATGCATTTCAGGTTTGAGTATTCAAGCATGTGTGCCTCTGGATTCTTCTTGTGGGCTCTTTAAAAGCTCTGGCAACTTCTATAGGGTGGGAGAGGGAGATGGTGGGAGATGGTACTCAGGCTGCACCTGAATTTCATCTCACTCCATCGTTTTGACATTATTTTTCACTCCTTCTCCATCATTTCGCAAAGGAATCTGAACAAACAAAGACCAAATTCAGCAAACAGTTGTGACTTATGGGTGTTTTCAATAACTGAAGAGGTGCCAAAGAAATGCGTTTTCTTCTGATTAAATGACTGGCCCTTAGTACTTTTTAAAAGGTATGGGTCAGATAGTGGGATACATTCAAGGAGAATTTAAAAGAACAGAATCGTTCTGTTCTAAATTCATGACACACATTCCCACATCATTAAGGTGATCTGCTGAATAGAAAAATGACAAGTTGGAGGAGGCAGTGATTAGAAACTAACAGCATTCCCATGGCAGAAGAAAGGTCTGGTCATTATCTGTCCATTCCTCTCTCATAGAAGGGGTCAGTTTTTTTGTTTTTTGAGATGGATTCTCACTCTGTTGCTCAGGCTAGAGTGCAGTGGCGTGATCTCGGCTCACTGCAACTTCCACCTCCTGGGTTCACGCCATTCTCCTGCCTCAGCCTCCCGAGTAGCTGGGACTACAGGCGCCCGCCACCAGGCCTGGCTAACATTTTTGTATTTTTAGTAGAGACGGGGTTTCACTGTGTTAGCTAGGATGGTCTCGATCTCCTGACCTCGTGATCTGCCTGCCTCGGCCTCCCAAAATACTGGGATTATAGGTGCGAGCCTCTGTGCCCGGCCAATGGTGGTGCTATTAAAGGTGATTTTTACAATAATAATATATTACATTTATAACTATAAAATCAAAATTACAAATATATATGTATATATATTTTGAGATGGAGTCTTGCTCTGTCACCCAGACTGAAGTGCAGTGGCGTGGTCTCAGCTCACTGCAAGCTCCGCCTCCCGGGTTCACGCCATTCTCCTGCCTCAGCCTCCCGAGTAGCTGGGACTACAGGTGCCCGCCACCACGCCGGGCTAATTTTTTGTATTTTTTAGCAGAGACGGTGTATCACCGTGTTAACCGGGATGGTCTTGATCTTCTGACCTCGTGATCCGCCTGCCTCAGCCTCCCAAAGTGCTGGGATTATAGGCGTGAGCCAGCGTGCCCGGCCTCGGGTCAGTTTTAAACTAGTACAAATGGTCAGAGACTCCTGGGCTGTCAAGACCACTACACACAAGGTCAGCAGTTCTTTATGTACAATTTGTTCATAGAAGCCTTAAGAGTTTGGTTATAAGAGCTGAATTGGGACTAAAAAGTAAATATTTATGGGCCAAGTATCAACCAGCAAATAAACTAAAACCATCTTCCTAGGCAAAACGGAGGGACATGGCCCGGGTCCCAGAGTGCCTGGTGTGAACCCCAATGTTGACATGGAAAGAGAAATTCCTGAAAAACCAGCTGAGATCGCCTGTGTTGATTTAAATGAAAAGAAAGAAAGACTCACCAGCAATTCGCTGAGTTGCTCATAATCAAACATTTCGTTCTCATACTGCTCGGCTAGCTCCTTGCCCAAGGCAATGGCCTCCTCCCACATCTGTGAGTTGACACAAAGAAAAGAAAGAGACACCGAGGCCTGAATTGTGCGAAGAGTAAAACAGGAATGCAATCGTTCAAAATAAAACAGTGTAGAAGTACATTTGAAGAAATGAAACACTATGGGAGTAACACTGAAAAAATACAAATATTTTCTTGAAGTTCCTGTCTTTTGGCTCGTGACCCACAGCCTCAGCTGGTCAAAGAGGTCAATCACTGGCATGTCAAACACGCAGGCCTCTGGCCACGGTAACAGCAGCCTGTCGGCCAGTCCTCACTGCTCTGTCCTTGCTCCCCTGCTGCCAGCTGGGGCCCGAAGCCCATCTGTCCCAACAGCCTTGGAGCCAGGGAAAAGGAACGGTAGGGTGGAGAGAGGCTGTGGGATGCATTTATGTAGAAACTGGGGGTCTGACTGGACTCTTTTCCCACGCCATCCACCTACAAAACGCTATGTCGAAAATCACCAATGATCACAAATACCAGGGCAGACTTCGACTCTAAACTAAAGCTTGCAGAAAGTTTGATGTATGTGTGTGACTATGCTATGGATATAAAGCCGGGTATCATTTTGAACAGGGGGAACTTTGCAAGGTAAGTTACTTTCTAAATCAGTGATTAAAATGTTGATAAGCTTTTGACACATGTGGAATAATTTTTTGATAGATAGCTGGCCTGAATTTTCTTTATTTTTCTTGGGAAAAACAAAGTGGATTACTGGAGAAAACCATGGAAAAATCAGAGGAACCATCCCTTCCAGGAAGCCTTCCAAGCTGCCTCCCACTCTCCTCCTTTGTGCTTCCACCAAGACCCAGGATCCTGCTGCCTCAAAACTTCTGGCAATGTACTGAAACTACCATGCCCCTTTGTCATTCCTCCTCAGAGAATACATGCCCTTGAGGACAGGGGCTCAGCTTTATCAACCTGTAAAACCTCTGGACCTTAACCCAGGGCCTGCCTGAGAAGGTTTAGTGAACAGAACTGTTGGATGCTGATTGACAACCAGGAAAGCTTCCTATCATCCTACATGCTGCATTCCCAGCCACGAGTCACCACTTCTCAACTGCCGTCATTCCCACAGGACGGTAGCACCAGTCCTCAGGGAACCACACAGCTTCGGAACCACCCAACAGGCCAGGCTTTCCAGGCCCCAAACCTGGACTACCCTTGGCACTGAGCCCCCACCCGCCGGCTGCACAAAAAAAGACCGAGGCCTTGCAGTAAAGAAAGAGTTTAATTGACATAAGGCCAGCCATGCTGTTACAGCAGGTAGCTAGTCAGGCATAAGCGGGGCAGGAGAGGGCTCCCCTGACCTCCTACCAGCGAAGTCAGGTGACTGTCAGGTGACGGTCAGGCAGTTGTTACACTGTCTCTCTAAAATAATAATTGGTTGCAGACAGTGCCAGAGACAGGCAGTTTCCCAAGAGCTAGAAACACCTCAAGCTGGTAATCAGCAGCTTCCTGGTAAGATTTCAGGAGTTGGGTGAGTGGGTTCAAGCATGTGAATTGAGAGGCATCATGGCGGAGTTTAACTGGCCACCTTCCAGGGGCATTCCACTGGAAAAGGGGCACATGGTGCTGGAAGTAGCCCAGCGTATCAAACCCCAAGCCCAAGGTCAAATGGGGCACTTGATCTCCAAGATGTCTGCTTGGCCCTCTTCCAAGTGTACTTTCTTTTCATTCCCGCTCTAAAACTTTTTAATAAACTTTCACTCCGGCTCTGAAACTTGCCTCAGTCTCTTCTGCTTTGTGCCCCTCAATCGAATTCCTTCTTCTGAGGTGGTGAGAACTGAGGTTGCTGCAGAGCCGTACGGATTTGCGGCCAGTAACACTACTCAAATCAATCTCCCCAAAGGCTCCCAGGGGAGGGGCTTTTCAAAGGCAGTCTGGGGGAAGGGGTGGTGGTGGCCAGCTAATGGATGCTGCTGCAGCTGGGTTGGGTTGGAGATGAAATCACAGGGGGTCAGAGCTGCCCTCTTGAGCTGAGTTGCTTCTAGGTGGGCCACAGGAGTGGGGCTGGTGGTTTGGGTGGAGCCAGGTGTCAGACAAGCCAAAAATCTGAAAAGAACTCAAAAGGCTAATTTACAATAGTGAAGTTACGTATTTTGTGACCAGTCTACACCTTAACAGAATTCAGGTTTCTCTCCTCTTCCTAGCCTGACGGCCTTTCATTAGCTTTATAAAGGCGGCTGAGTTTTAGAGAAGGCCTATTATCATTTAAACTCTAAACTAGAGGTCTCCCAGAGTTGGCTTAGCCAAAGCCCAGGAATGATTATAGGAGAGGCATGACCGAGCAGGGCAGGAGCAGGCTGCCCTGACATCCTACCAGTAAAGTCAGGTGACCGTCAGGCAGTTGTTACACTGTCTCTCTAAAATAATAATTGGTCGCAGACAGTGCCAGAGAAAGGCAGTTTCCCAAGAGCTAGGAACACCTCAAGCTGGTTACAGGGGGCGGGTGAGGATTTCGATCAGATCTCTTTTATTGACATGCTTTCCTCACTGTTAATTTTTTTGCAAAGGTGGTTTCAGCTTTTCCTAGCTTACTCGGTCCAGCCACCTGTGCTCTCCCGTTTAAGGCCTCCAATCACTTTGTCAGGTGGGCATCTGCATTCCACCCATTTTGCAGATAAGGAACCTAGGGATCAGACTGGTCAGTAGCTTTGCCAAGGACGCACAGCAGATAAGCGGTGGGCTTGACCCAGCCTGGCCTTTTCGAAAGTCCTTGTTCCTGATGGCCACGGAGCAGCCCTTCCAAGCTGCTTCCCCACCTCCTGCCAGGATGGATTTGAAGAGTCCAGGCTGGCCTTGAACTCGAGGTTCTCACAGCGGAGACAGGCTGCCAAGCCCTAAACATGGGTCATCCTTGGCACTGAGCCCCCACCTGCCTGCTGGCCTTTGCCTTTTCTTTCTGTAGGATGACCCCATTGAAGCCTCACTCACTTCAGAGCCACCTAAAAAACTTAAGAACATTGTTTTACTTAAATGCTCCCAAAATACTCCTGTCATAGCCACGACGTAAAGAAGCCATCAGCTATTTTCGATGAGAGTAAAAGTTACTCTAGAATCAGAGTGGCATTTTAATGCTTTGAATAACAAAATAAAAGTAAGCCCAAAGAAAACAAAGATTTCAGAGCTGGGACCAGTGTCCAGGGAGGGCAGGAGGTGGCCCAAGACGTCCTGCCTACGGTCCCCGCTCTGCTACCTGGTCCCTTTCCAGAGCCCCCATCTGTCTCCCCCATCCTGCTGAAGGTTTAACGTTGCCTCCCGTTTCTGGAATATCTCAGTCTGCTGCTCTAAGTCTTTCGTGTGTCCCCTGCTAGAGCCCCAGCTCACATTTTCTAGGAAGGGAGAACTTCCTTACTTTTAATGTTTTTTTAAAGCTCCAGTGACCACTTCCTCTCTAAGCAGATTTCCATTTCAAAGAGAACATTCCCTTTCCTTGTAGGTCTCTTACACCAGATTATTACTATTTTTTTTCAGTTTTCTGCAAGTAGATACAAACTCTTTAGCTTCCTAGAATGCCAGGGCTTCTAATTCATTCCTGAGTAAAAGCCTCATCTGTCTTTATCCTAAATGACAGAGGAGATACTTTAGATACATATCAAAAGTAATTGTTTTTTAAAGAAATACAAGTCTTGAGTAAATATCTTCGCAGACTCACCCTCAGGTTACATGGTGGTCTTTTCTATCAGATTTCCTGTAAATATGTATCTCTCATCCCTCCCCACTACCCCCAGCGTGTTTCAAAGGCCTCTGCATCAAGGAGATTTTCATCTCCTTTTAATTGGATGGGGCTTTAAAGGGAGTGTGGATAATTCATACGTCCAACGTGAATACCTCGGACAACGTTTCCGTGCCAGAGAGAAGGCAGATTCAGTAGGATCTAGATTTAGATGATCTCAGTGAAAGAAGCGCTTTAGCCTCTGCGATTGAACACCCTGCTTTGGCTCCGTTCTCAGAAGTGCTACAGGTTTATCAGGTTTGCCACAGTCCCAAATGAAAAAGCCCCGTATCAGCAGACAACTTTATTTTCTGATGGGAAATCTTTAATCCAATTTATGGCATTCTCGAAATTGCCGGTTGACTTGCAGCACGGAGGACGGTCTCCCCACCCCTGCTTTCCCCCAGATGATATGAGATGTGTTCTTTTGAGATGATAATCTTCTCTCTATTTTTCTGAACCTGCTGGTTTCAGGAAGTTCCATTTCTTCAAGTTCCATGAATAGAAACTGGAATAAAAACTTTCTTTTATAATAAAACTCCTTCCTTAGTTCCCAGACAGGAGCAGCTGTAGAGAATGTAGCAGGAATTGATTTCTTACCCATGAGGTGATGTTGATGATTCTGATAGGATGACAACATGGATGTCACAGGACAAGGGAACAGCAGCAGATGAAAGGCAAGATGTCAGCCGGGACAGCCGTCCCTTTCTAATAATTCAGGCTGGCGATGACTCACCAGGATACTGGTGGGCGACTCTGGTTTCATTTGCTGACTAGCTGTAAGTAACTCACCAGTGGAGATACTTTATAGGATGCTTGCATTTCAGACATCCTTCTAAAATTCATCTCTTCTGTTTTTTTACAGCAGTTATTGGGAAAAGAGTCATACTCAATTACTCTCCGAATTTCCAGAGTCCCACACACGTCTCTGACATCAAAATGGATTAAAATCACTGGTGTGGAAGAATCCAGAGCTCTGGGGGAGGTCCGTCAGCAGCAGCACAGGGGCCAGGGAGGCCCAGGGCTAGCAGGAGGCTGCGTTCAGTCCGTTCTTTGCTCAATGCGTGCTGAGTGACAGCGTCCCTTCCAGGTGCGTGGCTGGCGGCCCTGGTGAGGTGGGCCTGGATGATTCCAAGGGCCCAGCTAGTCTTGGTGTTGCCCGCAACTGTGCTGCAAGGAATGGAGACCCTTTTCAAGCATGTCCACTCTCTCCAGGCCCCTCATGTTTTCCTTGAGCCAGGCCTCATCCTTGGTCCTCCTGGAGTGCTCAGCCGGCACTGACT